AGAAGGGCCGGACCGCGAGGGGACCACCCTCTGCGCAGGCCATACAAACCGCCGACCTAACTCGGCGATTCGTTGTGGTTTGTGTAAGGAATCCACATCTGACGATATTTGTGTGTTCTACTACACCACACAACGCACGGGACGAACCGGTCTAAGTATAAAGTTTTTTCATTCATGGCACACGATACGTTCGGCAAGGGCCAGTTTGTACAGCACGCGCTGCTTCAAAATGAGCGCTATGAAACCCTGTTGACAGCGATAGAGGAATTCAAAACGAACCGTGGCCGAACGGCCGAAACACCCTGGCGAAACCACGTTCCGGCCAGTGATTGGCCGAAACATAAAGACCACGGCGCCAACACTGGTCGGAGCCTCCGCCACCAGCGTCCATGGTATCTACAGGTACGACTGCGACGTGGGCCCCACAACGACCCATCAGGTGAAAGTTTTGGTCAGCCAGTTGGATCCAAGCACGGTGCCCTCCTGGTTCGCACGACACGACACCAACGCGCTGGGACCCATTGTTACACCTTTGACTTGCACGTCTATCCCGGGGGCAAATTCACTGTTTCCCTTGGCGAGGAGTCCAAACAATAAATACAGATCGGATCTAGTCATGCACCCCACGCAAACTCCCATGAGCAGACCCAGCACCTGATACAGTTTGTAGACATAATTTCGTAGCATGCTCGACGTTGAAAGACTTATGTTTATCATGCTCTCGTCAGTGCCGCGTTTCCAGACTACCATCCAGTCGGAGTGGAGAGGGCCCTTCAGACAATGAAGAGTAATGCAATGCGCATGCGAATTAGGCGCTGCATTCGATGATGCGCTTTTCCCCTTTCACTCTCCTCTTGAGATCTTGCAGAGCCACTTCCATTTTGCGTGTTTGGGTCGCCGGGCAAAGTGCTATAAGCATGACATAGTCACAAGCTATCGCCACCGACACAGACAAGGGAAAGCCGAAGCGAGTTGCTGGGAAGGGGGACCTGACACCCACATATTCTTAAGTTTAGAGAGTTTTTACAGGTATTTGTCTTTTTTAAATGTGTCCCAATCCACGGTGAATACGAAACAGAGCATGTTACAGACAACTCCGGCTAAAGTGGAGGTGTTTGGTCTCACCTCCAGATACCTCTCTTATAAATTTTAACACTTATAAGAGAAAACTACTATTAATCATATGTAGCTTCCTAAAATAAAGCTGTGATAGAAGTCTGTCGCTTGAAGTTGATAGCCAATCTGCGGCTTACATCAACGAGCTTCTAAACACCGGTATCCTGCAAACCATGGGCAAGCCTATAGACCTGCAGTTTTTGAGCAGCAGACAGAGCTTCACTGTGCGAAAAAGACATCTCCTCTGACAAACTGCAAGCGCTGTCACTCGCGGAACCAATGCTTTTTTTCCTCACTCTCCATACTCGTCTCGGCTGCATCTTCAATAGCGATGTTGCTTTCAACACTTAAAGGGTCTTCCAGCTCTAATCTTGATATCAACACATCTAAATCCCCAATATCGGGTTCTGTAACATGTTTGGCGTCTTGCTCTACTTTAGAGCTCATGTTCCCCGACACAATCCTGGTGTGACGCCAGCAGTGACGAATTGTCACCTCCGACACAGAACCCCATGCGTCTACAGCAAATTGATTGCTGTTTGCAAGTCCAAGCGCTTTTGAGCTTCACTTTGCTCGACAGCCCACTGCACGAAATAATTTCTTGTATTTTGACATGAAATTGCAAGAAATTCCCGCGTCCAACGGCTGCAAATGCGAAGTTGTGTATTTAGGCAGAAAGTGTACTCGAACATTGTTCATCGCAACATCTGCATGGCTAGATGCATTGTCGACCAGGCAAAGTACTTTACGATCATGCAATTTTAGATTCAGGGCACGCACTCATTCTAAAAACACTTTGGCCGTCATCCATGCTTTTTGATTCGAAAAATAGTCCATAGGAATCGCTCTTACGTTGATGCCTTTAAAGCAGCGAGATTTTGCATCCCTATTGATCACAATAGGCTTCATCTTTTTCGTTCCGAGTAAGATTATAGCACAAGCCAACTGTGATTCTCGCCTTGTCCTTCTTCTTTCCTGCGACTGCTCTCGTCGCTAGCGTTTCACTGGATAACATGCGATAAAATAGAGCTGTTTCACCCATATTAAACATATCTTGTGGTTTGTATTGGTCAAGCAGCTGCATCAATGCTGTGCGTTGTTGTCCAAGCTCCGCAGTGTCTACAGATCCTGCTTCATCGTGCATCCGACGCAGCGCTATCCCGTGGCGAGCCTTAAAAGGCTAAACCCAAGACAGCGAGATGACCTCGTCGCCGACGAGTGCATTTGCCTTTGCTTGAAGAACATCGTCAGAGAGGAGACCTCGTGCTTCTTGAGTATGGACAAACGCTAGAAGATCCGTCTTGATTGATGCATGCTGCGCTTCACGTTTCTTTTTCATGTTGCCGTTGGGAGTGCAGTCGAGAGACTGGTTCACGATTTTTCCCACCGTGGTAATGCCAATGTTTTTCCCGAGGCGTGCGGCGACCCACAGCTCAAATGGAATGGTTTTCTCCTGTAATGCGACACTTTGCCTTGCCCGACAGCCTCTCTTATACTCTTACAGTCTTTTAGCAGATTTGACTTGATATTAATATGGTAAAAAATTGGGACCGGATCAGACCGCTCTAATACCCGATCTCCGGCGCCACTATAGCCGGAGTTGTCTGTACTAACCTCAAGATCGCTTTCATCGGGACAGACTAAATTTATCTGTGGTTTTGGCTCGTTTTTGTAGTGGGCCTGGCACTAAAAATTCTGATTAAATCGTTTTATGTAGGTTTTGGAAGGCACATTTATGTCAAAATTCCTTTGATTAAAACCCCCTCAGTATTACTTTGAGTCATTTGACTGTTTTTTTTAAACAAATAAATTACCCCCCCCACTTGTGAATTTTACATTATAAGAAGAAAATTTAAAAAATATTTTTGAGAATATTCTGCTTTTTTTGACTGGTTTTCTCTGTGTGAATTCAGTGTATTCGAAAGCCGCCAAAAGACGCAGACATCTCCATGCCGACTTTAAGCTCTCGTCCACCGGTGCCCAACAACTGGGACGCCTCGCAGATCCCGTCGCAACAGGGGAGGGTCGTTATCGTCACGGGCGCCAACTCCGGAATAGGCTACGAGACGGCTCTAGAGCTCGCCCGCAAAGGAGCTCATGTGGTTCTGGCCTGTAGGAACGAAGAACGTGGTCGTGAAGCCGAAACAAAACTGCGTGAGATCTTGTCATCCGCATCAGAAGCTGGCAAAGTGAACTTCGCTAAGCTGGATTTGGGCGACCTCAGCAGCGTCAAACAGTTCTCGGAGGACTTCAAGAAGACCCACAACCGCCTGGATCTACTTATCAATAATGCCGGTATCATGGGAGGAGCGTGGGGGCTTTCAGCCGATGGCTACGAGCAGCAGTTCGCTACCAACCACTTGGGCCACTTCGCTCTAACGGCTCAGCTCTTCCCTCTACTCAAAGAGAGCGCGCCGTCTCGTATCGTGAACGTCAGCAGCATCATGCACCGCTCGGCTCCAACGTGGAACGAGGACGATATCATCACGACCAGCGAAGAAAAGTACCGTGAGATGGACAACTACGGTGTCACCAAGCTGAGTAACGTTCTGTTCACTAACGAGTTGGCTCGCCGCATCAAAGCTGCGGGCATTGAGGGTGTCACCGCAGCAGCGTGTCATCCTGGTGTCACGGCGACAAACTTGGCGACGGCATCTACAGCGAACAGCAAGGGCTGGTGGTGGTGGCTGGTTTATAAGATGACGGACTTGGCTCCACGCCAGAGCTGCCCGATGGGAGCGCTACCGACGCTATTTGCTGCTACTGGCAGCGAAGTTGAAGGCGGTGACTTCTTTGGACCCAAACATCTCAAGATCTTCGGCTATCCTGTACGAGAGAACCCGTCCGAACAGAGCAAGTCGGAACCGGGTGCGAAAAAGCTGTGGACTCTAAGCGAGAGACTCGCACATCTGTCCTTCGACATCAAGAAGTAAAGAGATTTAAAGAACTCTGAACGGGACAGGAGCAGTGAGAAAAGAACCTTGTCTCTTAAAATCGACCGTTAAACTATCGGAATACTCTCCTTCTTATTAGCAATGCCTTATTCCTCGCCATTCTTCATTTTTCTACAGAGAGCATCAGCAGCTATGGGCGGTAAAGCCAGCAAGACCACGACGTCCGAGCCCGACGTTCCTAAAAACTGGAACACGACGCATATTCCGTCGCAGAAGGACAAAATTGCTATCGTCACGGGTGGCAACTCGGGTATTGGCTTCATCGCTGCGCTGGAATTGGCTCGCAACGGAGCGCACGTGGTGTTAGCTTGTCGCAACCGAGAGCGCGGCCTCAAGGCCGAAGCTGACATTCGAGAGCTCATCAGATCCGTACCAGGTCACGGAACTGTCAAACTCGTGCTAGTGGACATCGGGGACCTGAGTAGCGTTCACAAATTCTGTGAGATGTTCAAAAAGATGCACCCTCGCTTGGATCTGCTTGTTAACAACGCTGGGGTTGTTGGGGGCACGTACACAAAGACAGTGGACGGCTATGAACTTCAGTTCGCCACCAACTACCTGGGGCATTTTGCGTTGACAGCGCAACTCTTCGACCAGCTAAAGAAGAGCGAGTCGTCTCGGGTCGTCACCGTTAGCAGTCTCCTTCATCGTCACGCATACTTCTTCTTTAACGAGGACAAGATCATGGCCAACAATGAGGAAGAGTACGGACAGATCACGACTTATTGTGTCTCGAAGCTCTGCAACCTTCTCTTCACGCTGGAGCTTGATCGTCGACTGAAAGCTGCGGGCATCAACAACATTACCACAGCAGCTGCTCACCCTGGATACTGCGATACCAAGATCATGAAGAAAGGTGCAGATACCAACCGCGACAGCTGGCTCTGGTGGTTGGTTTTCCGCACGGTGGCGGTCGCGCCGCCACAAAGTGCGGAGAAGGGAGCGCTGCCAATTCTGTATGCTGCCACGGCTGACGGTGTAAAGGGTGGCGATTACTTCGGACCAAAGTACTTGGAGTGCTATGGCTCACCGATTCGCGAGGACCCGTCGACCTTGAGTAAGTCTGAGCCTGCAGCTGTCAAGCTCTGGGCGTTCAGCGAGAAGCTCACACACCTTACGTTTGAGGTGGTCAAGTGAGGTGTCTGATGATGGGGGGGGGGGGGGGCTCTGTAAGCACTACGATGTCGACGAAGACCAAATGAGCAAGATATTAATGGGTCGGCTTCAACTTCGCGATCACCGAAACGCGATAGTTTTCTTGTACTGTACGCTTACCACAGAGTAGTATTCAGAAGATAACGCATCAAGCTTTTTTTCCCAGTAAGTTTGTTGATTTCATCCGTCTGCAAGTGACCAAATTTATTGCTCGACAGGTTCAGGCTTTTCCTTCGTTTGTAGTCTTTGAATTCTTTCAAAGGCTTGTAGAGAATCAAGAAATATCAAACGAGCTTTGCGCCACGTATAAAACTTTCGAGTGTTCGTCCCGTAATGATCGCAAAGAACCTGTGTCTCGCACACAACACCGAGATCCATTACGAGTGTTTTCAAGCCATGTCAGCACCTTCCGACGTTCGTCCTGCCATCCCTGACGACTGGGGCGTATCCCAGATCCTTTCGCTCAAGGGTAAAGTGGCGATGGTCACGGGAGCCAACTCGGGACTCGGGTATGAAACGGCGTCGCAACTGGCACGCAAAGGGGCTCACGTAGTTCTGGCTTGTCGAGACGAAGCCAATGGACTCGCTGCTGCTGCCGCACTCGACGAGCTTCTGGGCACCGAACCAGAACGTGGATCCGTCCAGTTTCTGCAATTGGATGTGAGCGACCTGAAAAGTGTCCGTGAGTTCGCTAAGTCCTTCAAACGGGGGCATGATCGGCTGGATCTGCTCATCAACAATGCTGGGGTCATGGGCGGAAGCTACGCGCTATCAGTGGACGGATACGAGCGATTGTTCGCGACCAACCATTTGGGTCACTTCGCACTGACGTCTCAGTTGTTTGAGCTCTTGAAGCAAAGTACGGCAGCACGTGTTGTCAATGTCAGTAGTGGACTGCACAAGAGAGGAGAGGCAAGCTTCGATGAGGACGAGATAATGGTCACCACTGAGGACAAGTTCGGTCAGATTCAGACGTATGGGAAGACCAAGTTGTGCAATATTTTGTTTACAATGGAACTGGACCGACGAATCCAAGCTGCGAGGATTGAGAACGTCATGGCAGTGTCGTGTCATCCCGGGTATGTGGCGACGAACTTAGGAGCGAATATGGCGGCAGCGAACACCAATTGGCTCTACTGGTTGGTGATCAAACTCATGACACTACTGCCTGGAGGCAAGAGTCCGGAAATGGGAGCCCTACCAACTTTGTACGCTGCGACCGGAAATGAGGTCGTGGGTGGGGATTATATTGGACCAAAAGACAGGAGCACGGGATCACCGGCTCGTCATATGCCGTCAGAACTCTGCAACTCGGAATCTGCCGCAAAGAAGCTGTGGGCGTTTAGTGAGAAATTGGCAAACTTGACTTTTGTTGTTGAGAAGTAAGGCGTCTTTGTTAGAGTCACGACCGGCTTTTGGGGCATTAGTTTCGTTACCAACCGGGTGCCACCATTCAGTGATTGGAAAAATATATTTACAACGATTTTTCATAATCACTGATACTGCAGTCTACGCTCGCAGTAACGTCTGGTCCTGCAGTAGGAATTGCAGTCGAAAGTCGACTTGCAATTTACACTGCAATACCTTCATGCTCTCCAATTTACATTGCAATAATACATTGCTCTTCAAAATTACAATTTCCCTATGTAAGCAACTTCAAGTTGAAGCTTTTTTTAAAGAGGATTCCGTGATACCTGGGTATTACACAGGACTATGGCATAGGCACAAGCCTCGGTACAGGAGCAAGGAGGTTGACAGTGGCGTTTGGGCTCTCATTCTTCATTTTTCTCGGGCTCAAGTAGATCTAATCGTCAGTAGCTATTCTCGAAGCTCAAGTATCGCCGCTTCTCCACCGTCGTCTTCGCATATAGGCACAAGCCTCGGTACAGGAGCAAGGAGGTTGACAGTGGCGTTTGAGGTCTCATTCTTCATTTTTCTCGGGCTCAAGTAGCTATTCTCGAAGCTCAAGCATCGCCGGTTCTCCACCGTCGTCTTCCTCGTTCAACAGCGATCATGGCACTTACCAACAATAAGGTTCGACGAGGACAGATTTCAGACATTATCAAGTTCTTCTACGCGGACAACCGCTCGGGAGGCGAAGCTATGTACACTTGCATTAAGTGCAGATCTTCGAGATCGAGAACCAGCTTCGCCAAGTCCGTGAAATCGAACTTCCTCGAGACAGCGATCTCCAAGTGCAAAGATGCATTTACCCAACTCTTGCGAAGTTCAATTCAATCATGGTTTAGCTGCAAGGTAAATATGTCACTGTAGCTTCAGTTCGGGGAACCTTTGATGCGTAACTAGAAGACTTTCCAGAACTAAGCCACTACTTAGCCCAAGATGCGTCTATTGTTCACAAGCCCGTGTTCGAGGCAGCGGTCGCCAAAGCTCGGAACAGCAAGATAGGGGACTTGTCATGTCGTTAAATGGAAGCCGTCAAACAATTCGAAATCCGGGGAGAACCTGAACCGAGACACATTGAATGGGGATTTAGTATAAGTTACTTTCAACAACTAGAAAAGCGCAAGCGGCAGAAGTTGCATCAACTCGTGTCGTACCAAGATCTTCGATTCATGCGTGGACCGTCAGCATCGGTGTGACGCTTGTTCAGTTCGGCAAAACACTTAATGACAGAACGAAGAAACCGGATGACCCCCGTCATGTTCAAAGCCATCATGTTCTTAACCCCTCACACTTATACGTTGTTTTTGACAACATTGGAGAAAAAGGTACAATGTGTCCGTTTTACTCACATGTTGTATATACTATATGTTAAAGACACTGAAATGCACAGGGCTAGGTGGTAAAATGGAAATAAACTCATCATTTATCCGCACAAAACGTACACCAACGGTCGCATGGAAACTGACCTTGCCGTAGCCGCCAACCACTCATTCGCCTCATTCTACAAAAAGAAGTTTGGTGGAAAGATAACCGCACGACGCGAAACTCGACGGGAGGCCGAGGCGTTTCTTGCTCGGCTGGAAGGCAGAAGTCTACAGGACCGCCACCGCTTGGCTATAGAGCACAGGGCGTACTTGAACGGGGAGCGAGCGACGGAAGCTGTTTTTGAAGACGGAGATGGAGCCATTGCGGCATCACCGGCGGTCACCAGCGCGCCAACGCCTTCCACAAGAGTGCCAACACCGACGTTGAGTGAACCTTCAGCTACAGCGTCCCCGTCCCCCTATCGTGCTGCACTACCACGCCGCCCACCGATGGGCAAGAATGCTGCTTACCTTGCAGCAGCCAAGAAGAAAATGAAAGACCGGCTTGCAGCTGAGGCGTCTACAAAGAAGAGCCCAGGGAAAAAGAGAATGTCCAAGACACAGCGTGCTTCTTTGGCGCGAGAGGAGAAGAAGACGAAGGCTGCGCATACGATAGACCGTGCTGCGGTGGTGGTTGCTCGACGTGCGAATGAGAAGGCGGGGGGACGTGCGCGAGTTGCGGAAGAGGAAAGACGAGGCGTAGAAGCTCGCGCTGAAGCCCTCCTGGTTTTAGCAGCAGAGAAAAAGAATACGAGAGGCTCCAAGAAGCAAGCTACCAAGAAGCAAAAAACGGCCAGTCCTGACGTTGTTGACTCAGATGGGGATGAAGCCGCTGACGGTGAGAGTGTAGCGTCCGCAACAAGGTACAAACGCATATTGGATGATGTATATACACCACGTACTAATACGAACGATGTTGTATGTTGTGTGCAGATCGCCTGCTCCACCCACCGAAATGCCAGCAGCGAGACGTCAACCAGCAAGGTATGTGCCATGGTGTACCAGCCTGTGAAGCGTTGGGCATGTTGAATAAGAGCACCTGTTGATGTGGTTAAATCTTGACAGGTCACTGACTATGGGTACAGCGGACCCAGACCCGAGCTCGGCAGTAGCTACAGGCGCTTCTATCCTAAACCGTGATGATGGCGCGCTCAACTCAGACTTGACGGGGAGGGTGGGGACTCCGATGACTGGTACATCGAGGATGGCGGGCTGATTGCAGAAAATGTTAGCATCGAGGACGAGGACAGCGATGCTCGTGATGAGGCTGAGAATGATGGCCGATCAAGTGAAAGTGATGATGGCTTCTTGGATAGCGTTGCTCTACTCAATCGCCAGAAGAAGAAATTGCAGAGACAGCGTCAGCGGGATCATCTCAAAGCTTCCATCGCCAATCTTTCTCGCAGTTGGGAAACAACGACGGCAAATTGGGATTCTCCTACCAACGAAGAGATGCAAGTCCTCGCGAACGACGAAGCAACACTGAAGAAGATGCGGGCTGATGGCTGGGAGTTTGGTGTGTATTTGTCAAATGGTGTATATACAACATTCACTAATTGATTTCTTGTTGTATGTTATGCCTAGACACTACGAAACACCCTGAAAGACTGAATCCGTATCCTGGACTCTACAGTGGTGGATACGGACCTACTGAGGCAGTGTTGGAAGCTGTCGAGTCACCTTTGAGCCTGTTTTTCTTCTTTATGCCTCGTCGACTGTGGCGTCGGATTGCTACTGAAAGTAATCGTTATTACTGTCAGCATCTCAATGAGCGAGTGGATAGAATTTTTGGCACCCGAGTAGAAGGCAGTGAGGGGCTAACAAGAGAAGAAGTGCTTCTCCAGGAGACGAAGACGCACAAGAAGATAGCACCTGAGGGCGTTGGCCACTGCATCGGCCTGCTAATTGCGAGGATGCTTTGCCCTCACAAGCGTCGGTTTGCTGATCGTTGGGCTACGAAACCTATAGGCGCAGTCCCCAAAGGGACGTTTGGCCCGTATAAGGGGAAGTCGCTCTTTGAGCGCATCATGCAGAGCCTCCATTTCACTGACAACACGGACGCACGAGCTGAGACGAATCGCGCATGGAAGGTTTGCTCTGTCGTAAATACCCTTCATCAAACATTTGGACGTGGCTACAACGTTCCTCCGGTTCTCTCATTTGACGAAGCAATGATCCCATCAAGAGGTCGCCACAATGTAACGAGACAATTCATGAAGGACAAGCCCCATAAATGGGGGACGAAGCTGTTCATGACTTGCTGCGCCACTACTGCATACTCACTACGGTACATAAAACGCTGTTTTTTAGGCTAAGTATCTCATGTTGTATTTAACCACTTGTAAATTAATTCGCACGGTGTTCTTACAACATGAACAGATTGGAAGTGTTCTGTGGCACAGATCAGCATACGGACGAGCTTGGAGGAGACGCGCATATCCCGATCTCTGCTGACCCAAACTCTGGCCCTGCTGCAGTTATCAGGAATCTGGAAGCTGTAATGGGCCCAACTTCAATTACATAAGTAGGTATATATTTCCGTAGTTATTACATAAGTAGGTAAAGTGGCACACGGGTAGCGTGTGCCAAGGTGTCATCATCTGATTGTTTGATAGTGAGGAGCCAGACTCACTTATTGACCAATCAGGTATATACATGTGTTTGAGTGGTTCACATGAGGCCAGGGGTAGCCGCCCTGGTCCTAAATAAATAAGAGTTGAATTTGACACAAACCTAAGACTTGGTTTTACTATTGCGAGCTTCCTCCACACTATAGTGTAAGCTAGTGACGGTATCTATTACCCCGCTACACCTGGTAGCACTTTATATTCCATCCAACGACCAAGTCTACGATGAGCCAAGTCCAGATCTCCGGGCCAACCCTGGAGCATGGTGCATTCCCCCATCTCACTCGCGTTAAGTGGGAAGCGCTTCATCGCCTCGTGGCGGTGTCCGGAGATGCTGTTGTCGCATCGCTGCTGAGCTCAGCGACGCCCGACCAGCAACGTCTGGCAGCACAAGAGTTCATGGATCGCGAGCTCGCCGATGCGAATCGGCGGGTGTCAACTCCCTCGCGTCCATCCCAGAATGGCGTCGTCAAGATGGAGACGTCTACGTATTCTGGCGCCGGTGAAAACCGGCTCCCACTAAGCCGGTAATTCCGCGAGATCGACATCGCTATCGCCTTGCGACGCATCGAGGCGTCATTCGCCAAGATGAACTTCCTCCTTTCCCAGTTAACCGGGAAGGCAGAAGAATGGGCCCTCGGGAAGCTGGTTGTCGACCCCGAGGCTTTCCCGACTCTGAAAACTCTCCAGAGCGACTTGCGCCTCGCGTTCGAGCCCCCGCAAGATGAGTCTCGCGTTCGCGCAGAGTTCTTCGCTCTTCGGCAAGGGCAGATGTCCATGCGTGATTACGTCCAGAAGACGCGACATCTGGCGTCATGCATCGTGACCAACCCAATCGACATGGCTTCGCAAGTCCACGTAGTTGGGTTCGGCATGCGCGAGGGTATGACCCGCTACTGCCTCACCAGAGCTGAGCTCTCCTCTCTCGAGGAGGGATTTGCACTCGTGATTCGCGAGGATTACATGGTCGCTGCATCGTACGCCGCAG